AAAGGAGGAGTCAGGAGGAGGAAACGTGGGACCGTAGACAGGAGGAGAGGGGGAGGAGGAAGGAGAGCGAGAGGGGAGACCAAGGGTCCGAAGACCCGAGACAGGAGGAGGAGGTGGCTGCTGCTGCTGCTGCTGCTGCTACGGCTGATGCTGCTGCTGCTTCGGCTGCGACTGCTGCTGTGACTGCTGCTCCTGCGGCTCCAGCTGCTGCTGCTGTTGCTGCTGCTGCTGCTGCTCCTGCGGCTCCAGCTGCTGCTGCTGCTCCTCCAGCCGCTGTAACTCCCTCTCCTCTCTCTCCAACTCCAGCTGCTCCTCACGAGCACGGCGAACACGAGCCTGGTGCCTAGTCGGGTAGGGGTGGGGGGGCGGAGTAGTGTCCGGGGCAGCGGCAGCCCCAGAGTCCACCTCCGAAGCACCAGGCGCACCACCCCCAGAGGCAGCACCAACACCAGCTCCAGACCCAGGCTCACCAGAACCCGAAGGAGGCGCACCCTCACCCCCAGACGGAGCACCCCCAGTGTCCGCGCGACCAGCACCAGCTCCCGGAAGACAAGAGTCCTCTGCACCCACCGGTTGAGCTGCAACTCCAGCACCCCCAGAACCAGAAACCGGTACAGGAACAGGCTCAGCACCAACCTCTCGAGAGCTAGCACCTGCAGCACGCTGCGAGGAGGACTGTGGGGAGGGAGGCTGTACCGGAGGGGCTACCGAAGGAGGAGGGGTAGCCTGGGACACACCTGACGGGGCTGGACCAGGGGGGGGAGGCTGTACCGGGGGAGCAGGAGGGGGAGCGGCAGTCAGGAAGAGAGGGGGAGGAGGAACCGGGAGACCTCGACTGGGGTACCTGACGTAGTAGGGGGTGGACTCCTCGAAACGGATGTCTCGGAAGTCAAAGAACCGGTGAGAGGGAGGGTGGTAAAAGGTGAAGTCAGAGGAGTCCTCAGGGAAACCAAGGAAGACACAAGGAATGGCGCGAGGTGAGAGCTTGTCCGCAGAGGTGTCGCGGACAAGAGCCAAGCAACCCCAGACACGAAACCGCGACGCAACACCAGGGGACCCGGTCCAAAGACTGGTCGGCGAAGCCTCTGGCCGAGAGACGCGTGGCCAGAGGTTCAGCTGGTGCGCGGCGTACCGAACCGCGTAAGGCCACAGAAAATGGGGGGCACGGGCGTGAGTCAGGGAGGTGCGGGCGATCTCCATGACCAAGCCTATGCGGCGCTCAGCAACCCCATTCTGTTGTGGGGACTCTGGAAGCGTCCAGGACTGACGAATGCCCTGCTCGCGACAGAATCCAGCGAGAACGCCGGAGCGAAACTCACCCCCACGGTCGGAGTGAAGACAGCTGACACGACGACCACGAGTCTCCTACGTGGTAAGCAACCACCTGATCAGCGTAGAAGTCACCTCAGACTTCTTCGCCAGGGGGAACACTGTGGTGTAGCGGGAGTAGTCGTCAACGACCACCAAAAAGAAACGCTCACGCTCAGGGCCAGAGCGAGGGGAGGGGCCCCAGACGTCCAAGTGGAGTGTCTCAAAAGGCTCGGTGGCCGGACGAAGGGAGGAGGAGTGAGGGGTGGCGCGCAGCCGACCCTCGACGCAAGGACCGCACGGTGGTGCAAGGGACGGCGGCAGCGACGGCAAGACACGCGGGAGACCTAAGACCAGACGCTGACAATGCGCGCAGACGGGGAAGAGAAGGGTGCCCCATCCGGTGGTGCCACAGAACGGTGGGGTGGGCAAGCGACCTGCAGGAGCAAGACGCAGCGACTGGACTGGACGCGACTACCTGAGGGGACGTAACCACCTGGTGAGACGCAGGGAGGAGACAAGGGGGAGGGACAGGGGCAGGGAGTAGGGGCTGCTGCGGCGGCGGCTGCCATTGTTGCGCACGCGGGCCAGTGTGAAGAGTGTAGAGACCGGAACCCGGCTCAGCAGCAAAGGTGGCCAGAGGCTGGTAAGAGTCCCCGTCAACACACACCGCAGTCTCTCCAGAAGGCTCAAACCACACACCCACGTGCTGACTCACGAGGGGTCGCACGCCCACCAAGTTCCGGGAGAACGAGGGGACGTGAAACCCAGTGATAGACACGGAGGGAGCAGCAGGACACGGCAAAGTGGTAGTGTGACGCGCAGTGACTGGTCCCGAGGTGGGATCAGCCAGCGCCACAGAGACAAGCGCAAGAAGTGGTGTAAGTGTCGTGCTGTCACGAAAGAAGCAGTGTGAGGCTCCAGAGTCCAGCGTGAAAGACAGTGAAGCGTCCTCCGAGGTAGCCGCTGGACTAGTGTCTACACAAGAAACTACACTAGCAACAGGCAACGGAGCAAGGCTAGCACCTAAGCTAACAACACCAGAGTAAACAGAGTCAGAAACACTAGAGTCAACAACATCATACATAGCATGAGGAGTTCCAATCAGATCAGCTAACTGCTCGGCAGACATGTCCCACAGAGTGGAGCCGTAACGCTGAACAAGGGGAAGCCAGTCAGGGGCAGGACCGCCAACCCCGTAAACCAAACGAACCGTGTCAGTGAGCTGAGCAAAGCACTGACCAGGGGGGTGAAGGCGGCCACAAGGGTGGCCCCGGCGAGCACCTGTCAGAACCTGATAGGTGCAGGGAGGGTAAACAGCACCACGTTGGGGCTGACGCGACCCCGACCCCAAAGCCAGCTGCGGCCACTACTGCTGCGGAGGCTGCTGGGAGGAGAGGGGCTGCTGCTGCTGAAGCTGCTGCTGACGCTGGGCCCGGTACCACGCCGCTGCTCCACCCACCGGGGCTGGCAGTACAGGGGGCGACTGACGAACTCGGGCGTCGCCACCACCAGCAGGCGCAGTGGAGTCACCGGTCGCTGCACGAGAGGTCTCTCCAGACGCTGCACTCCCACCACCGCCAGTCGCAACGCCACCCCCACTACCTCCGCCTCCACCAACGCCGCCGCCAGCACCGCCCCTCTTGCCACCCCTACCGCGGGACCGCGACGAAGTCGTAACAGCAGCTGCGGTCGCGTCAGTAGCGGCAGTGGCGAGAGAGGCAGTAAAGGTGGGCAACTGCGGGACTGTGCACCCGTGGAAGAGTGGGGGGGGCACAGCACCAGAGGCAGCGGCTACGGAGCGGAGGTTGCTCTCGACGTCCTTGAGCGCAGACTCAAGGACCTCAATAGTGAGCTCACTAGGGTGCTTCAGGAGAAGTGCGCCACGAACGGAGGCAAGGCGGTCAGGGAGGCTAGTGGCGATAAAATAGATAATAGTTGCCATGGGAGGAGGTGCAAGTTGTGCCTCAGTGCAAGCAGCGCGGTAACTAGAGTCGAGCGAGCGGAGGTGAGCAATCAAGTCAGCAGAGCGCTCAAATGAGGCGAGATCAGGGAACAGGAACGGGAGGAAAAGGCGGCCAAGAGAGACAGCAGCAGGAGTGGAGTAGCGGGCCTTAATCGCAGTCAGGTACTCAGCAGCAGTGCGAACCTGAGTAAAGTGGACCTCCTCAGACTCAGGGAGGAGGGTGCTGAGCGCGATGCAGGCCGCAGCGTCACGCGACGTCCAAGCTGTCAGGTCAGCGCGCTGGCTGGCAAAGTGGGCTCTAGCGGCGTCGTCAGGGGCAGGGCCTAAAGGCGTAGGTTCGGGGGGCGCAGGGAGGGCACCAGTAGCGTGCGCCCAGAGGGTCTCGCCTAACTGGATCTGACTCTCTAACTGACGGCGAGCGCGCATAAGCCAGAGTGAAAAGTCAAGGGGTCTACCGTCAGCGTCGAAACGAAGAACACGCGGAGTCGCCATATCTAAAACTGACGGAAAAGCGGAGGCAGAGCACAGTGGCAGGCAAATGGCCAACTAGGGCGGCACCCTAGTGAAGGAGAGGCGCGGCCGCAGGCGAGACTAGCAGCCGCGAGTGGTGGGGGGAGCGGACGCTACGGCGGACGCGACAGCGGGCGGCGACAGCGGGCGCAGCAACGGGCGTCGGCAGCGCGCGTGGCGGGCAACGGCAGCGCGCGCAGCGGCGGGCGACGGGAGCGGGCGCAGCGGCAACGTGCGCGGGGGCGGGCAGCGGCGGCGGGCGCAGCGGTGACGGGCGCAGCGGCGGGCGACGGGAGTGGGCGCAGCGGCGGCGTGCGTAGGGGGGACGGGCGACGGTACGACGGGCGGGGAGAGCGCGGCGCGACGGGGGCAGGGGAAGGCGCGATTCGACGGGCAGCGGGGGGGAAAACGCGACTCGACGGGCAGCGGGGGGAAAAACACGACCCGACGGGCAGCAGGGGGAAAACGCGACTCGACGGGCAGCAGGGGGGGGAACGCGACGGACAGCAGGGGGGGAGAAGGTCGCTACGCTACGAGAGCAGTGGATCGGCGGAACTGGCGGTAACGAAGGAACGCGACTAGAGCGGGCCGGCGCTAGGCTCGGGCAAGATGTCCGCAACTATTACGTCAGAGTGAGACAGGCTCGGCGAAACGAACGAGGTCGGGAGGAGCGGGATCCCACAGGATCCGAACCTAGGTGATACCATGTCAAACTGAGGAATGAATGATGCATTGATGTTGGTTGGGGTACATATAACAAACCCTAACTTTTGTACCCCCTAAGACAAACCTCACTACAGGCTACAACATTTGACACTGGTTTCTTCCGGTGCTGAAGTTTGCCAACGGGACAAGGGTTTCTCCGGCGGACAAGATGCAATTTTTAGTCGCTTGACTAACAAACCACCATAGAGGCAGCCGCGAGGGTATGGCATGCTATACCTAGACCCTCTAGCACGGTTACGACCGATGGATGGTGTTTTTTAGCATTGTATAATGCAATTTCACCTCCGCCAAAAAAAACAAGAAATGAATATTAGTTTCTCTTCACCACACTAACTAGTGAGGTGTAGATATCGCAATCACCAACCACAACGCTTCTGCCGACATTCGCCGACCATACCACCTCGAGGACTGACTTTGACGCTCTTCTCGCCGCTTCCCTCGCTCCACGTGCAATGAGCGTGGTCGCGTCGCTCCGCTCGCCTCTCCGCCCATGCTGCTCGCGGCGCTCCCACCTTGCTGGCTGCACTGCGCGCCAATATTATCGGCGTCTCGCCACTCGCTGTGCGCGCGCGTCACGCGCTGCCCGCTCGGCATTGCTTCTCCCCGCCTCGATCGTTCCGCGCTCGGCGGATCTTCCGCTCGCTGGAGTGTAATGGCGGAGGCGGCGCGTCGAAGCGAGCAGCAGGGTACCGTCGCGGCTGTGTCGCGACAAGAGGGATGCACGGAAGCGAGGCCTGGAGAGAGTGCAGTTACCGGACGCGCCGTTACTTGCGGGGAGCAACGGCGCGTGGAGTTCGAGATTCGCGCGACGGACGGCGAGGCTCGCGCTGGATGCATCCGCGCGACGCGCGTTGGCGAGGCGGGGAGAGGACGGGATGAGAAGGCAGGCATACAGAGCGCTGAGGAGGCCAAGGGAGGGCAGAGCGGTGGTGAATGGTTCGAAGTGGCGACACCCGGTCTTCTAGCGTACACGCGGCGGGGGCTGCCGGTACATCTGACGCCGGACGTGGCTCAGACGCTGGGGTTCGCCGGGTGGACCGCGTGCTCCACACACTTGTGCGTGCACTGCCCTGCCGCCCTGCCACCCTGCTACCCTGCATGCATGCACGCATCACAGCCAGCCTGAGGCAGCGTGCACTGAGAGATGACGTCACTACGTCGACGCAGTCGGCGCCTCCAACGGCTCAGCGCTGCGTTCCCCCTATTCCCCTTCTCCCTGCCCCTCTCCCCGTCCACCAGTCTCGACAGCCCCGCCCACCACACAATTGCCGCGCACAGCAGCGCGCGCGCCACGGCAGCAGCAGCGGCGGCGGGGGGGGGGCTGCACGGCTTGGTGGCGCTGCCGCCCGCCACGCTGCTGCTCGCCTCGCCACGCGACTCGCTGCTCTTCCCGGGAAGCCAGCAGGGCGGCAAGGCCTCGGCACGGCCTGCCACGTGGTTCGACACACCCAGCGGCCGCCGGCAGGTGGGGTGGCGGTGGATGGGAGGGCAGGCAGGTGGGGTGGCGGTGGGAGGTGGGGGCATTGGGTTGTGCGTGCACGGCAGACACACCCTCCTGGCTGCTTCTTCCACCGCTCCCTTGCACGTGCCACCTCTGAGCTCACGTCACGCTCATGCGTCCACGCTCCCTTGACCTGCACGCTTCACCCACACCCTCACCCGTGACCCTGTGCCGCCCTCCTCACACATGTGCCCTCCTCACACATGTGCCCTCCTCACACATGTGCCCTCCTCACACATGTGCCCTCCCCACACATGTGCCCTCCCCACATATGTGCCCTCCCCACACATGTGCCCTCCCCACATATGTGCCCTCCCCACACATGTGCCCTCCTCACACATGTGCCCTCCTCACACATGGTGACACGCAGGTCACTCCAGAAGACCACAGTGCCATCGTGGCATCTCTGCTGCCACATGTCGCCATCCCATTGCACGATGCGCCGCCTGCCACGTCATCACTGAACCGTCACCGAATGGCTGTGCAGCGGTCGCTGACGTGGCTAGATGAGGAGCTGCGATTGGCTGAAGAACGAGGGGGGACAAGAACAGTGAGTTTGGATTCAATGCTGGCAGCGCAGCGCATGGGCACCACACTGTGTTCCCTGCACCGCTGTTGCAGCGCTGTATCACAGCCTTGTCATCCCTGTGTGGTGTGCTGCGGTGTGGTGTGCAGGCGCTGCTAGGAGCGGTGGTGGGAGGCCCGTTTGAGGAGGAGAGGAGGCGGTCGGCCCGCGAGACTGCAGTGCGCACAGGCTTGGCAGGTGAGACTGCAGCGCGCACAGGCCTGGCAGGTGAGACTGCAGCGCGCACAGGCCTGGCAGGTGAGACTGCAGCGCGCACAGGCCTGGCAGGTGAGACTGCAGCGCGCACAGGCCTGGCAGGTGAGACTGCAGCGCGCACAGGCCTGGCAGGTGAGACTGCAGCGCGCACAGGCCTGGCAGGTGGGGGGGAAGGAGGGGGACAGGTGGGGTGAGATGGCTGGCAGGTGGGGTGATGGGAGGGGCAGGTGGGGTGATGGGAGGGGCAGGTGGGTTGGGTAGTAGGTAGGAGAAAGGAGAAGGCCATGCATTTACACCTATCCGTCTGTGCTTGTGCGCACATGACACCCATCTCCCACCTCTCACTCCCTTCCTACTCTCCCTCCCGTGCATCTGGTCCTTTGCTCGCCTGTTGCTCTCACTCTCACCTTCCCCTCTCTGCGTGCACGTTTTCCCTGCCTGCCCTGTCTGCCCTACCCTGCCTGTCCGCCGTGCAGGGTACCACGTGGCAGGGCTGGGCCTGGGGGAGGCAGTGCCGCACAGGGACGCGCTGCTCGCTGCTGCTCTCGTCAGTGTGCTCCTCGCACCCTCCCCTCCTCTCCCCTCCCTCCCTCCCTGCTTTCGCCCTCCCCTCCTCTCCCCTCCCTCCCTCCCTGCTTTCGCCCTCCCCTCCTCTCCCCTCCCTCCCTGCTTTCGCCCTCCCCTCCTCTCCCCTCCCTCCCTGCTTTCGCCCTCCCTCCCTCCGTCCCATCCCCTCCCTCCCTCCTTCACTCCTTCCATCCGTCCATCCATCCATCCATCCATCCATCCATCCATCCATCCATCCATCCATCCATCCATCCATCCATCCATCCATCCATCCATCCATCCATCCATCCATCCATCCATCCATCCATCCATCCATCCATCCATCCATCCATCCATCCATCCATCCATCCATCCATCCATCCATCCATCCATCCATCCATTCAATACTGTGGTACTTCCTTTCTTAACATTTTCCACCATCTATCCATCCATGTCTCTCGTACTTTCTTCTCTGCTCCGGCCATCCCAACCCTTTCCTCCTCCAACTGCGCCCACGCTCGCCTGCCCTCCTCGTTGCTGTGCTGTGCGTGTGCGCCCTTTCACGGCCCCGCAGGCCGAGCTTCCACCGGAGGCAATGAGGCACACAGCAGGGCTCAACACACCAGGTACATGCAACATGAGGACCAGGTGAGGCATTGTCAAGAGTGCAAGGGAGAAGAAAGGAAGAGTCAAGAGTCAACACATGGTGCTCCATTGAATGGTTCACGTGTTCTCCTCTGCTCTCTGCTCCTTTCTTTCTCTGCAATCTGCTCCTCAGCTCCTCTTTGCATGCCACGCCATGAGCGCGCCTGGCGCCACAGCGGGCTGGGCACTCATCTCATCTCCTGCACTCCACCTGCCCCTCTCCACCGTGTGTCGGCCCCCTCCCTTCCCCCCTGACATGGCGGCGAGCAGAGGAGGTGCTGCAAGCAGTGGCGAGGGGCGTCGACCTCTTTGACTGCACGTCAGTGCCCTCCCCTCCCTTGCATGCACTCTCCCCTCCCTTGCATCCACTCTCCCCTCCCTTGCATGCACTCTCCCCTCCCTTGCATGCACTCTCCCCTCCCTTGCATGCACTCTCCCCTCCCTTGCATGCACTCTCCCCCCTATCCCTTGCATGCGCTCTCCCCTCCCATGCATCCATGCGCCCCCCCCTCCCATGCATGCATGCACTCCGCCATGCCCCCCCTTCAAGCCTTGCTTCCCGCACGCATCTGTCCTCCCCGTTTCTGCATGCGCCATCCCGTGCCCTGTGCCATGCACTATCCGTGCCATGCACTATCCGTGCCATGCACTATCCGTGCCATGCACTATCCGTGCCATGCACTATCCGTGCCATGCACTATCCGTGCCATGCACTATCCGTGCCATGCACTATCCGTGCCATGCACTATCCGTGCCATGCACTATCCGTGCCATGCACTATCCGTGCCATGCACTATCCGTGCCATGCACTATCCGTGCCATGCACTATCCGTGCCATGCACTATCCGTGCCATGCACTATCCGTGCCATGCACTATCCGTGCCATGCACTATCCATGCCATGGCATGTCTCAAAGCTCACCCATGTCCTCCCCTGCAGGTACCCCCACGACCTCACTCTGCTTGGCCTCGCCTCCTCGCTGCCTCTCCACCCGCCCTGGTGGCCTCACGCCTTGGCGCAGGGGGAGGGAGAGCGGAAGGAGGAGCGGGATGGCGGGGCAGTGCAGGCGGATGGGGTGTTGAGTGAAGTGGCGAGAGAGAGCGAGGGGGAGGAGGCCGTGGGGTCAAAGGTGAACCTGCGGTGCTCATCGCACAAGTGAGTGCCTTTATGGTCATCACAGCATTGTCTCGCCTGGGTAGCTGTGCCACGAGCACGCTGTTCCTGCTCCGGCATGTTGCACCTGCCTTGCATCCTCACACAATGACTCACACGCAATCTTATTTTATTCTTCCCCGCTTTCACTTGCCGTCTTCTCACGAATACTCCCTCTCACTCTCCTTCACTACTTGTCCCCCCTCCATCCGCCACCCCCCCCTGTGGGCGCTACCAGGCGCAGCTTCATCCCCATCAGCCGCACGTGCGCGTGCTACACGTGTGTGCACCACACGCGCGCGTACCTGCACCACCTGCTGGACGCCCATGAGATGCTCGCCCTCGTGCTGCTAGGCATGTGAGTGGCTGTGCTGCTAGGCATGTGAGTGGCTGTGCTGCTAGGCATGTGAGTGGCTGTGCTGCTAGGCATGTGAGTGGCTGTGCTGCTAGGCATGTGAGGCTGTCTGGCGTGTGATGTCTGCGGTTTGACGCAAGGAAGCGAAGTAGCGCTACGTGAAGGGCTGGTAATGCGGGAGAGTGTCTCCCACCGTCATCACTCTCACGCAGGGCTGTTGGCGTTGCGGAGGGAGGTCACATTTGTCCTCATGCTCAAGCCACTGTCTGCTCTGCTGTGCGTTTTGCTGACTGTGCCCTTGTTTTTCCTTCGTCTTATTACCCCAACGTACCTCCCTTCAGCCACAACCACCATCACATGCTTCAGTTCTTTCAAGTTATTCGGCAAGCCATCGAGTTGGGTGTGTTTCAACGATACAGAGACTGGTTTGTCCAAGCTAGAGAGGAGGAATCAGGATCAGTAGTGCTACAACACCATCTAAAGCCTTAGCATTGAGCATGTATCATGCGACCACAAGTATTATTTTCCTGTGGTTATATTTCCACTTTTAGGATGATTACCGGGTAGCCTCTTGCATTGTATATGTCTAGCAGTCGTAAGGGCGCGTGTCTTTTGGTGTAGATTGTCAAAGTTCGAGCCTAGTACCGCTTTGTAACGTGGCGACACGTCTCTCAACTGTATTCTACCGTGTACGACCTTTCTAGAAGTTCAAACATTGGCAAAAGTTCGGCCTCAAAAGGCACGCGCCCTAACAGGCGAGAGTTGGCTTGCGGGAAGGGCGTTTTCGGCAATAAGCTTGCGAAATGTTTGGAGTGGTGGAGGAAGATATCCATAATGCAAATGTTCCTCAGAGCGCGATACATTGTTGTTCATTCTTGAACGTAACACCGCCAGTCACGGCCACAAATCCTGATTCCTACAGTTTTACAAAGCCTGTTGACCAGAATCTCCCCACGATTTCTCGATTAGTTTCACACCTATCAAATACATCTCATTCTGAGCAAGCGATGCATTCAAGGCCGAATCGCTGCATCCTCCCGCGGCTGCGATGGTGGATGCGGCGGCGGTGCTTTCGCGAGCTGCTGCTGCTCGTGCTCGTGCTGTCGGCGAGCAGCGGCGCGCGCGGCGTGCGGTTCACGCTGGACCGGAAGGAGTGTCTGACGGAGTACGTCAACTGGGTGGGCGACGTCGTGCACGGCAACTTCGTCGTCGTCAGCCCCGACGCGTGGGGCGACTGGGAGCAGAACGGCGTTGACCTGGTGGTGAGTGGACCGGCGTTGACCTGGTGGTGAGTGGACCGGCGTTGACCTGGTGGTGAGTGGAGCGTACCATGTTGACTCGTGCTGAAGTGACGCTCGTGTCAACCGCTCACGGCAGGTGTGCTGCGTGCTGGCCAGTCCACCTGGCGCGTTTGGCAGGTGTGCTTCCAGTGGTTTCGGAGGCTCTCAGTGCCTCGCATGTTGGGAGGCGTTGCTGCTGCGCCACTCTTCCCTGTGCTCCCCGCTCACAGCCTCCGCGTCATCGTCCTACCTCTCCCCTCCCCTGCCCCTGCCCCTCCGCCCCTCTCCCCCTTGCTTTGCGCAGATCAGCGACCCCGACGGGTACACGGCGTTCTCAACGGAGGCGCAGACGGCGGGAAAGTTCGAGTTCATGTCGCAACGCGAGGGCGACTACCGCTTCTGCTTCTCCAACAAGTGCGTGGGGGGGGGAGGAGGAGGGGAAGAGGATGGTGGGGAAGGGGGGGAAGGAGGGGGATAGGGGGGAGAGGGATAGGGGAAAAGAGGGGGGAAAGGGGGAAGAGAGGTTGGGGGAGGAGGGCAACACCGAGGTGAAGGGGGCGGAGGCGAGTGGCATGGGGGGAGGCGAGTGGCATGGGGGGAGGCGGGTGGCATGGGGGGGAGGCGGGTGGCATGGGGGGGAGGCGAGTGGCATGGGGGGGAGGCGAGTGGCATGGGGGGGAGGCGAGTGGCATGGGGGGGAGGCGGGTGGCATGGGGGGGAGGCGAGTGGCATGGGGGGGAGGCGAGTGGCATGGGGGGGAGGCGAGTGGCATGAGGGGGAGGCGGGTGGCATGGGGGGAAGGCGAGTGGTAAATGCTGGCCTGGCTTCAACGACAACCTAACATGTCTCCCTCCCCCCTTCCCTCCTGCCCACCTGCCTGGGCTGCATGGTTGGGGGGGGAGCAGGTCGCCGGTGTTTGAGACGGTGTCCTTGGAGGTGTTTGTGGGCCACCAGGTGCACCCCCACGAGATCGCCACCGACGGTCTGTCTCACGCCACCGCCCCTCCTTTTCCTCCCGAGTTATCTTCTCCATGCGTTCTTTTCTCTCCAGCAAACATTTTTCGTTCGCATTTCAGCTCTCTGATTCCCTTCTCCCTGCGCCTGTAATGCCAGTTTTGTCTGTCCTTCACCACCTCGTAGCATAGCAACGAGGCTCTCATTCTGCAACTGTCTGCCTCGTCGCACAAACTGCCGGTCAGCAACAAGGCAGCACAGCACAGCCTGTTGCCAGGCAGCGTTTGGAAGCCAAGCAAGTGCGCCCTTGCCACTGCTCTGCCCACGGCCTCTCGTCATCCCAATCATCACCACTCACCGCTGCTGCCCCTCCTACACCTTCACGCCATCCCCTCCTCCCCTCCCCTTATCCCCGGGAACCCCTCAGAGCACATACTGCCGATAGTGACCAAGCTGTCGGGGCTGCACAACCACATTGAGAGTGTCTTCCTCGAGGCCAAGTGGTTCCATGCTCAGGCCGAGCGCCAGAACCAGCGTGAGCGCCTCACCATGCCACCACTTTATTCCTTTTAACAGCCAGATTTGTCTACCTGGTTGTTTGGATGCATTTGTGTCCTGGTTCCTTGCCATGTGCATCGTCCAAGGCACACGCTGCACACCCTCTTTCTCGCACACTCTGCCCTTCGTCACATGTGCTCCACCCCCCGCCACCCGCCCCCGCACCCCCCTCCCTTCCCCCCCATGCGAAGCTGGGCGGGCTGGGCAGTGGCGCAGGCCACAACACGCAAGCTGGTGGTGAAGACGGCCGTGCAGTCGCTCGCCCTCATCACCTGCTCCTTCCTGCAGGCACGCCCCCTCCCACCCCCCTCACCTGCTGCACCCCTCTGCATTTCCCTCCACTGTGCATGCACGGCATGGTACGGTCGTATGCAGACCAACTCTTTTCACCGGATGCACTCACCCTATTCTCCTGTGCAGGTCTACCTGTTGAGGCGACTCTTTGAGAAGAAGCTTGGAAGGACAATGGTGTGAACGGTCCACTGGCTTAGTAGGAAAGCATCACATAGGAGCTAACTGGAAGTTGAAAGGCGTGGCGCATCCACATGCGAATTCACGACAATGTTTGAATAATGGCAGGGTTACCGCGTTCCTTGGATCCGACAAGACCCTTGTCAATGTGCAAGCAACAATACGGTAGCAGGGAAACATGGCACGCCTGGACCAGGTGCAGGAACCGTGTAACTTGTGCGGTTCTCATGACGTGCTCATTGCACTTGGGTTGCGCCCATTGCAGTGCGGCACATACTGTAGCGTCTGATAACACACCAAGCAAGAAGAGAGGAGATGTTCACCAAGGCATAATGCATCGCACGTCAGTCTTCACATTAGGCAGTGGTTGGGGAAAAGCACTTTGCTCCATAGACGCCATTTATACTGTGTTAATGCTTGTACAGATGGGGGACCGGAACTATGTTCAAATTGTGAAAAGATAGGTGCTCTTATAGTGCGGGGAGCTTTGACTGGTATGGTGATTGTGGGTGTCGAAGCATTGTCTACTGGGGACAAGTTCACTGGAAATTAGGAGTCTCATTTGATCTCGCTACACCCAAATTCGACATCATTCCTTCCTCTCCATATCGCCACGCACTGCGGCGCATCCACGCGCTCCATCCGCCATTCCGTCGTACCTCGCGACCAGGATATTGACACCCTAAGCGTCCATACTGTCGCGACTAGTCGAATCGAATTCCTCGCGAGTGGTTATTGTGGCGCATCAGCGGGCAGCATGGTGAAGGGCAAGAAGATTCTCTTCATCGTCGGCGACTACGTCGAGGACTACGAGGTACGCCGAGGACTACGAGGTACGCCGTCGCGCCTCACTGCCGCTCACCCCGCCCGCTCTTTCCATCGTCACAATTGCCTTGCGGCATCGTAATTTTGTGTCGGAGATAGGTTCGCGCGCGTCGATTCCTCGCGATGATCGGCGAGCTGACGTGCTGCACCTGGTGGTGGGCGGGCATGTGGCGCGCAGGTGATGGTGCCGTTCCAGGCGCTGATGGCGTTCGGCTGCCACGTGGACGCCGTGTGTCCCGGCAAGAAGGAGGGCGACGTCTGTCGCACGGCCGTGCACGACTTCGTCGGCGATCAGGTCAGCTCTCGATCGCTGCCTGCCACTCCTCGCCGCGTGCTCCACAGTACCGCAAGTGCTTGTATTACACTCAGTAAACGTGCGTATTCGGGACCATGCGCGGCTGTTAAGCTTTACTGTATCACTTCTAACTATCATGTACCACCTGCGCCTCAAATAATACCCTCGTTTTGACCCCGTGGGTAGCCAGGCGTTATACTCATGACTCACACAATTTAAAATACAGATTTGTAGGGGAAGTACAAAAATTTCTTATTTCACACTCCCACCGCGCACCTCCCATTGCTGCACGGCACGGGTACGAGCAGACGTACGCGGAGTCACGCGGGCACAACTTCGTGCTGAACGCCACGTTCGACGAGGCGCGGTGCGACGCGTACGACGCGCTGGTGGTGCCGGGTGGGCGCGCGCCCGAGTACCTGTCGGTGGACGCGCGCGTGACGGCGCTGGTGCGCGAGTTCCACGCCACCCGCAAGCCCATCGCCTCCATCTGCCACGGCCAGCTCGTGCTCGCCGCCGCTGACGTGCTCAAGGTGCGCGCGCCGAGGGGAGCGAGGCGATGAGGAGGCGAGAGAGGGGCTTGGGTTGGGTGTACTTGAGCAGTCCCCCAGCAGTCCCACCTTAGCATGTGAGCTGGGGAGGGAGCATGTGAGATATTGATAGCGTAAGTGTGCGAGAGCGTGAGAATGCGAGAGCGTAAGAGTGTGAGAGCGTGAGTGTGAGAGTGTAAGATTGTGAGAGTGTAAGATTGTGAGAGTGTAAGATTGTGAGAGCGTAAGAGTGTGAGAGCGTAAGAGTGTGAGAGCGTGAGTGTAAAAGCTTGAGTGTGAGCGCGAGAGTGTGAAAGCACGAGAGTGTGAGAGCACGAGTGAGAGCATGAGAGTGTGAGAGCACGAGCGAGAGCATGAGAGCATGAGAGCACGAGAGCATGAGAGTGTGAGAGCGTGTTAGACTTTGTGGGTGGGGCATCACTCCCTCTCACGGCCACTCCCTCACGACGCCATCCCGTGTTGTGCCGCTCCTGCGTGGTGTGTGGTGCGTGGTGTGTGGTTTGTGGTGTGTGGTGCATGGAGTGCGTGTGTGGTGCATGGAGTGCGTGTGTGGTGCATGCATGGATTGCGCATGGCAGGGCAGCAAGTGCACAGCCTACCCGGCGGTGAAGCCGGTGGTGCAGCTGGCGGGCGGGCAGTGGGTGGACGCCGACCCCATCTCCGCCTGCCTCTTCGACGACCAGTGCGCCCCGAGGGGGGGGGGGAGTGAGGGGGGGCATGGCCATGGGGGTCATGGCCATGGGGGGCATGGCCATGGGGGGCATGGCCATGGGGGGTTGGGGCGATGTGGGTGGGGGGGCATGGAGGGTTGGCTGGGGGGGAATGGGTGGAGGGGGGGCATCACAAGGGGAAGGAGGGGGGGGAGAAGGGGGGGTCATTCTGCGGGGGCCGGGATGCGGGACCCTCACTTCCTCCGTCACCCTCAGTCTCCAATCACCCTCACTTCCTCCGTCACCCTCAGTCCCCCAATCACCCTCACTTCCTCCGTCACCCTCAGTCCCCCAATCACCCTCACTTCCTCCGTCACCCTCAGTCCCCCAATCACCCTCACTCCCTTCGTCACCCTCAGTCCCCCCACCACCCTCACTCCCTCTGTCACCCTCAGTCCCCCAATCACCCTCACTCCCTTTGTCATTCTCAGTCCCCCCACCACCCTCACTCCCTCCGTCACCCTCAGTCCCCCAATCACCCTCACTTTCTTCGTCACCCCTCAGTCCCCCCATCACCCTCACTCCCTCCGTCACCCTCAGTCCCACAACAATCACCCTCACTCCCTCGGCACTCACCCCTCCCACGCTCCTCTCACCTCCGCTCTGCCCCTCCCCTACGCGCCTCTCTCTCCCCCCCGGGCCACCAGGCACAACCTGATAACGGGCGCGGCATGGCCGGGCCATCCGGAGTTCCTGTCGCTGCTGCTGCTGGCGCTGGGCGCCAAGGTGACCGCCAGCGACAAGCGCGTGCTCATGCTCGCCGGGGTCAGTGCCTCATGCTCGCTCGACTCAGCTGTGTGTGGGGAGCTGTGTGTGGGGAGCTGTGTGTGGGGAGCTGTGTGTGGGGAGCTGTGTGTGGGGAGCTGTGCAGGGTGCTGCTCATGCTCCGCGGTGTCAGAGCCAATTCTGCTGCTATCGCTTCGCTGCTGCCACGCTGCTGCATGCTTGGCGCCCTGAGGCTTGAATGCTCAAAATGTTTGAAGTAAGAGTGTAGGGTTCTGGCTTCTTTGGTGTTGGCCTGGGTTCAGGGGGTGTCATGTTTGGGTTGGATGTGTGGGGGATCTTTGGATCATCAACCGAGGTTTGTAGTCATGGCCTACCGTGTTGCCTTCTCTCCGCGTGGCTTGTGCGTGCTGCCCTGCACCCCCCTGCTGGCTGGGTGGCTTTGCAGGACTTCATGGAGGACTACGAGGCGATGGTGCCCATGCAGGCGCTGCAGGCGCTGGGCTACCGCGTCGACGCCGTGTGCCCTGACAGGCGCGCGGGGGACACCTGCAAGACGTGCCCTGACAGGCGCGACCTGAGACGGCCGTGCACGCCCTTCGCCCAGGTGCGCGCCCTGCCCTCTCGCCCAGGTGCGCGCCCTGCCCTCTCGCCCAGGTGCGCGCCCTGCCCTCTCGCCCAGGTGCGCGCCCTGCCCTCTCGCCCAGGTGCGCGCCCTGCCCTCTCGCCCAGGTGCGCGCCCTGCCCTCTCGCCCAGGTGCGCGCCCTGCCCTCTCGCCCAGGTGCGCGCCCTGCCCTCTCGCCCAGGTGCGCGCCCTGCCCTCTCGCCCAGGTGCGCGCCCTGCCCTCTCGCCCAGGTGCGCGCCCTGCCCTCTCGCCCAGGTGCGCGCCCTGCCCTCTCGCCCAGGTGCGCGCCCTGCCCTCTCGCCCAGGTGCGCGCCCTGCCCTCTCGCCCAGGTGCGCGCCCTGCCCTCTCGCCCAGGTGCGCGCCCTGCCCTCTCGCCCAGGTGCGCGCCCTGCCCTCTCGCCCAGGTGCGCGCCCTGCCCTCTCGCCCAGGTGCGCGCCCTGCCCTCTCGCCCAGGTGCGCGCCCTGCCCTCTCGCCCAGGTGCGCGCCCTGCCCTCTCGCCCAGGTGCGCGCCCTGCCCTCTCGCCCAGGTGCGCGCCCTGCCCTCTCGCCCAGGTGCGCGCCCTGCCCTCTCGCCCAGGTGCGCGCCCTGCCCTCTCGCCCAGGTGCGCGCCCTGCCCTCTCGCCCAGGTGCGCGCCCTGCCCTCTCGCCCAGGTGCGCGCCCTGCCCTCTCGCCCAGGTGCGCGCCCTGCCCTCTCGCCCAGGTGCGCGCCCTGCCCTCTCGCCCAGGTGCGCGCCCTGCCCTCTCGCCCAGGTGCGCGCCCTGCCCTCTCGCCCAGGTGCGCGCCCTGCCCTCTCGCCCAGGTGCGCGCCCTGCCCTCTCGCCCAGGTGCGCGCCCTGCCCTCTCGCCCAGGTGCGCGCCCTGCCCTCTCGCCCAGGTGCGCGCCCTGCCCTCTCGCCCAGGTGCGCGCCCTGCCCTCTCGCCCAGGTGCGCGCCCTGCCCTCTCGCCCAGGTGCGCGCCCTGCCCTCTCGCCCAGGTGCGCGCCCTGCCCTCTCGCCCAGGTGCGCGCCCTGCCCTCTCGCCCAGGTGCGCGCCCTGCCCTCTCGCCCAGGTGCGCGCCCTGCCCTCTCGCCCAGGTGCGCGCCCTGCCCTCTCGCCCAGGTGCGCGCCCTGCCCTCTCGCCCAGGTGCGCGCCCTGCCCTCTCGCCCAGGTGCGCGCCCTGCCCTCTCGCCCAGGTGCGCGCCCTGCCCTCTCGCCCAGGTGCGCGCCCTGCCCTCTCGCCCAGGTGCGCGCCCTGCCCTCTCGCCCAGGTGCGCGCCCTGCCCTCTCGCCCAGGTGCGCGCCCTGCCCTCTCGCCCAGGTGCGCGCCCTGCCCTCTCGCCCAGGTGCGCGCCCTGCCCTCTCGCCCAGGTGCGCGCCCTGCCCTCTCGCCCAGGTGCGCGCCCTGCCCTCTCGCCCAGGTGCGCGCCCTGCCCTCTCGCCCAGGTGCGCGCCCTGCCCTCTCGCCCAGGTGCGCGCCCTGCCCTCTCGCCCAGGTGCGCGCCCTGCCCTCTCGCCCAGGTGCGCGCCCTGCCCTCTCGCCCAGGTGCGCGCCCTGCCCTCTCGCCCAGGTGCGCGCCCTGCCCTCTCGCCCAGGTGCGCGCCCTGCCCTCTCGCCCAGGTGCGCGCCCTGCCCTCTCGCCCAGGTGCGCGCCCTGCCCTCTCGCCCAGGTGCGCGCCCTGCCCTCTCGCCCAGGTGCGCGCCCTGCCCTCTCGCCCAGGTGCGCGCCCTGCCCTCTCGCCCAGGTGCGCGCCCTGCCCTCTCGCCCAGGTGCGCGCCCTGCCCTCTCGCCCAGGTGCGCGCCCTGCCCTCTCGCCCAGGTGCGCGCCCTGCCCTCTCGCCCAGGTGCGCGCCCTGCCCTCTCGCCCAGGTGCGCGCCCTGCCCTCTCGCCCAGGTGCGCGCCCTGCCCTCTCGCCCAGGTGCGCGCCCTGCCCTCTCGCCCAGGTGCGCGCCCTGCCCTCTCGCCCAGGTGCGCGCCCTGCCCTCTCGCCCAGGTGCGCGCCCTGCCCTCTCGCCCAGGTGCGCGCCCTGCCCTCTCGCCCAGGTGCGCGCCCTGCCCTCTCGCCCAGGTGCGCGCCCTGCCCTCTCGCCCAGGTGCGCGCCCTGCCCTCTCGCCCAGGTGCGCGCCCTGCCCTCTCGCCCAGGTGCGCGCCCTGCCCTCTCGCCCAGGTGCGCGCCCTGCCCTCTCGCCCAGGTGCGCGCCCTGCCCTCTCGCCCAGGTGCGCGCCCTGCCCTCTCGCCCAGGTGCGCGCCCTGCCCTCTCGCCCAGGTGCGCGCCCTGCCCTCTCGCCCAGGTGCGCGCCCTGCCCTCTCGCCCAGGTGCGCGCCCTGCCCTCTCGCCCAGGTGCGCGCCCTGCCCTCTCGCCCAGGTGCGCGCCCTGCCCTCTCGCCCAGGTGCGCGCCCTGCCCTCTCGCCCAGGTGCGCGCCCTGCCCTCTCGCCCAGGTGCGCGCCCTGCCCTCTCGCCCAGGTGCGCGCCCTGCCCTCTCGCCCAGGTGCGCGCCCTGCCCTCTCGCCCAGGTGCGCGCCCTGCCCTCTCGCCCAGGTGCGCGCCCTGCCCTCTCGCCCAGGTGCGCGCCCTGCCCTCTCGCCCAGGTGCGCGCCCTGCCCTCTCGCCCAGGTGCGCGCCCTGCCCTCTCGCCCAGGTGCGCGCCCTGCCCTCTCGCCCAGGTGCGCGCCCTGCCCTCTCGCCCAGGTGCGCGCCCTGCCCTCTCGCCCAGGTGCGCGCCCTGCCCTCTCGCCCAGGTGCGCGCCCTGCCCTCTCGCCCAGGTGCGCGCCCTGCCCTCTCGCCCAGGTGCGCGCCCTGCCCTCTCGCCCAGGTGCGCGCCCTGCCCTCTCGCCCAGGTGCGCGCCCTGCCCTCTCGCCCAGGTGCGCGCCCTGCCCTCTCGCCCAGGTGCGCGCCCTGCCCTCTCGCCCAGGTGCGCGCCCTGCCCTCTCGCCCAGGTGCGCGCCCTGCCCTCTCGCCCAGGTGCGCGCCCTGCCCTCTCGCCCAGGTGCGCGCCCTGCCCTCTCGCCCAGGTGCGCGCCCTGCCCTCTCGCCCAGGTGCGCGCCCTGCCCTCTCGCCCAGGTGCGCGCCCTGCCCTCTCGCCCAGGTGCGCGCCCTGCCCTCTCGCCCAGGTGCGCGCCCTGCCCTCTCGCCCAGGTGCGCGCCCTGCCCTCTCGCCCAGGTGCGCGCCCTGCCCTCTCGCCCAGGTGCGCGCCCTGCCCTCTCGCCCAGGTGCGCGCCCTGCCCTCTCGCCCAGGTGCGCGCCCTGCCCTCTCGCCCAGGTGCGCGCCCTGCCCTCTCGCCCAGGTGCGCGCCCTGCCCTCTCGCCCAGGTGCGCGCCCTGCCCTCTCGCCCAGGTGCGCGCCCTGCCCTCTCGCCCAGGTGCGCGCCCTGCCCTCTCGCCCAGGTGCGCGCCCTGCCCTCTCGCCCAGGTGCGCGCCCTGCCCTCTCGCCCAGGTGCGCGCCCTGCCCTCTCGCCCAGGTGCGCGCCCTGCCCTCTCGCCCAGGTGCGCGCCCTGCCCTCTCGCCCAGGTGCGCGCCCTGCCCTCTCGCCCAGGTGCGCGCCCTGCCCTCTCGCCCAGGTGCGCGCCCTGCCCTCTCGCCCAGGTGCGCGCCCTGCCCTCTCGCCCAGGTGCGCGCCCTGCCCTCTCGCCCAGGTGCGCGCCCTGCCCTCTCGCCCAGGTGCGCGCCCTGCCCTCTCGCCCAGGTGCGCGCCCTGCCCTCTCGCCCAGGTGCGCGCCCTGCCCTCTCGCCCAGGTGCGCGCCCTGCCCTCTCGCCCAGGTGCGCGCCCTGCCCTCTCGCCCAGGTGCGCGCCCTGCCCTCTCGCCCAGGTGCGCGCCCTGCCCTCTCGCTGCCATACGGTGTCAAACAGAAGGCAGCATGGAAAGGGAAGGCAGCATGGAAAGGGTTGGGCTGCAGGATGGCAATGGAAACATTTGTGTGATCTTGTCATTTTGTCATCATGGCATCGCTGGCGGCCTGTGTGCAGACGTACACGGAGAAGCCGGGGCACAACTTTGCATTGACGGCTGACTTTGACGCGGTGCGCGTGGACGACTACGACGCGCTGCTGGTGCCGGGCGGGCGTGCACCCGAGTACCTGGCGCTCAATGCGCGCGTGCTGGAGATCGTGCAGCACTTCCACGCCGCCCGCAAGCCCATCGCCTCCGTGTGCCACGGCCAGCAGATCCTGGCCGCTGCGGGCGTGCTCAAGGTGCGTGCAGGGCAAGGTGGGTGGGTGGGGCGAGGCAAGGTGTGTGTGTGTGGGTGAGGGGCAGTGCTGGGATGGGAAGCTGGAGTGGCAGCAGAGGGGTGCACGGCAGCACCACCTCGTCCCTCCACTGTGTCCATCTCTGCTTCCCACAACACCCATCACTTGTCTCTGTGTGCATGGCAGGGCATGCGGTGCACGGCATACCCGGCAGTGAAGCCAACGGTGGTGCTGGCGGGTGGCGAGTGGCAGGAGCCGGACCCCATCTCGCGGTGCTTCCAGGACGGCCACCTCATCACGGGCGCCGCATGGCCCGCCCACCCCGAGCTCATCAGTCTGCTCATGGCCGCCCTCGGCACCACCGTCACTGCTTGACCGCTCAATGCCGTGCCATCGCCACCACACATATGCCTCCACACCACACACTATGACGGACAAACTCTGCTCCGGTACAAACTAGTGAAGAAACGAATGTGAACATATTAATTACGGCATATGGCCACAGATCTTTACAGAGTACCAGGTTTTGAGGCTGTTCCGTTTCGGATATTCTACCTGCTAGAATTCAATGTGTTGTAATAACCTATAAGTAGGGCCTCCGATACGTTTTGGGGTACCTTGAGCACTCAGGGTCCCTTGGTTTGAAACACTTATCTTCAGTGCCGCCTGCATAGATACCCCAGTGGACCCACGTGCCGCCCCGCAGCCCCCGCGCGCGCTGCCTCGTGGCGCGCGCGCTGCCTCGTGGCTCCCGTGCGCCGCCCTTGCCCTCGTGCGCCGCGGGGCAGCTTCCTCCCCCCCCCCCCACTTTTCTCCTTCCTCTCCCTCCTGCGCGTGCACCTGTGGGGAGAGGGCATTAGGGTGCCGGGTATGGGGGTGACGGAGTGCGTACGCAGCTGCTCCTCCTCCATTCTCTCCCACTACTGCAGCTCCGCTGAGGGGGGGATGGTGTGGGAGCTGAGGGAGTGGTGCTAGGGATGCAGAGGGGGATGTGAAAAGGGGGTTTGGGGCAATGGGGGGAGGTTGGACGGAGGTAGCTGACTTGAAGCCAGCAGCGCCAGTAGTCCGGATGCCCTAGCTCCGGTAGCACGTGATCTCGTCGCTCCAGTCGCCCGTGGGTCAGTTGCTCCAGCCGCTCGTCTAGCCGCGGAGCCAGTTACTCCAGTAGTCCGGATGCCCTTGCTCCGGTAGCCAGTGTGCCAGTTGCTCTAGTTGCCCGTGTGCCAGCAGCTTCAGCCGCCGCCTCCAATCTCCTCTCCTCTCACAGTCCCTCCTCCTCCTCACTTGCCCTCTGTTTCTGCCACTAGCATTTGCTTATGCACTTGTCCTGCGATTGCTTGTTGTGTTGACTATACCCCACTTTGCCTATAGGGGTGTGTCAGAATGTTATGTTGTGTAGGCTGTAGTGAGGTACTCAACAGTAAGTACAACCCTGTTAGTGTTTCCTATTTGTATCCCACCTGCGTGCTACTGCAACCCCTCTTCTTCTGTTTACATTCTAGCTTCTCATCTTGACACCCTTGTCTTAGATTCAGTTGAATCTATATGTCCTGTATGAACTTAATTTGTAAAAAGGAATTTCAAATAGAATTGTACAAACCAACGAGTAATTCTATAGATGTGCTAATACTCCTACCTGAAGTATCACTACGTATCACTCCCCTCACTAGCGTACCGTTACGTAACCCAAGACGCGTGCTTGGTAATCAGAGCCTGTTTACAAGCGAGTTTTTCGACCGCTAAATCGTAGCTTTTAAAACCGCGGGGGCGACGACGAACGCGCCGATTTCGGGTACGTAAACCAATTCCGCGCTGGTTTTAAACGTCCCCCTCGAACCGGTTTTCGAACGCTCCTCAGGAACATTTGGTGAAAAAGTTGGAATTTCAGCCGTCGGATCGATTCATGCATCCACGGCCCTCAGAATTTCGCCCAAAAACGTTGGAATTTGGGGCGTCAGATCGAATTGTAGCTGTACGGCCGAGATCCGACACGAATTTCGGCTAAGGGAGAATTACGCGACTAGCAGAAACGGCGCTCGACATTTCTACAGTTGATTTTAATCGCAGTAAGTCGAACGAGACTCAGTTTTTAATTCTTTCTGTCGCAAATCTTCCGTAAAGCGCCAAATGGAGGAAAATGGTGATAATTCCGTACGAAAAATTACGGAGTTACGCACCGACATGGACCAGATGGGAGCGGCACTCCAACGATTATAGGAACTCCTCGCGAACCAGTCGGCAGCCGCCAAAGCAGCAGCAGACGTAGCAGCGAATACTGCAGCGACGGTAGCAGCAGCAGCGGCGACACCGACACTTCACCAACCAGCAGCCACAATGAATCTTGAGGCGGCACGTCCGAGGATACCGGAGGCGTTTAATCCGAATGCGAGAGACGCCGACGTCCGTCGATTCATTGCGACACTCGAAATTTATTTCGAGGCCGTTGGCTGTACGACCCCGACACACGATGCAATGAGGATTCGGCTCGCAGCAACACTGTTACGAGGCCCAGAGCTCTAGTGGATTTACAACAGTAAGGAGATCCGAGGCGAGGGGTCATGGACGCAGTTTCGGGCAGCTTTAATTCAACGTTTCGAACCGATCAATTCCAGCTACATGGCGCGGCAGCAGATTCATCGGCATAAGCAGTACGGCAGTGTAACACAGTACACGCAGCAGATGGAGAGCCTCTTCAATCGAATTACCGACCTGACCGAAGGGGAAAAAATCCAAGCGTATACTGAGGGGCTAAAAATGGAAGTCCGCAGACATGTGATCGCTGCGAACTACAACAACTACCGCGACATGGTGTGTGCAGCAGAGAGATTCGATGCGTTGATGCGAGGCCAACCCGAGACACGACGCCACGTGCCGAACAGATCATTCGACACGAAGCGATCGGCACCACCCACGACCGCCAACCCGATGGATATCGACAAGTTCTACGCGAAGCAGCGGCCGACAAAATACGAGAAGTGTGAATTTTGCGGCGCAGCGGGACATCGACTCTTGGCGTGTTGGAAAATGAAGAAGGCACGAGCAGAGCTGCAGGGCAACAACAGTGCGGCACCCACGAAGTCAACAAACGTGGCGACTTCGGAGAGGGCGAAAGAAGGAGTACATGATGGCGCGAATTCAAAACGTCACGACCGGCCGGCACCAGGGGAAATCGCCGAGACAAATGGAGGCTCCGCGAAACAAGACTCTGCACCAACCGGGAAACTCCAGCCGAACACCCACGAAAGTAAGAATTCGTTAAAGTTATCCTATAAAGATACTTTAACTAAGAATATTACTTCTCGTCATTTTCAAGCCTTCATGGGAAATTTTGAGGCTAAGAAAAAGCCCTTAAAGATTATTCAGGTACCTGACAAGTTGGGCAAACCACTCCGGAGCGTTGATAAGGGTCGTGCGTTCCAAGGAGTTAATATTCTCTCCCCGCAGCACAGTGTTAAGGCTCCCCATTGCCCACAGGAGAAGCCTACACAGCTGCAACGGCTTAGGGGAAGGTTCCAGGCCAAGACGAAGCTGAATCGGCCGCGGATAAATCCTTCTAACCCTGCTCAATTGAAGACTGAGATTGAGTCAGCAGCTTCGAGCGCAGGACCTAGGGATGATCTATTCGACGTACCCTATGATCCTGTAGCGAGACCAATACGGTTACTCGGAGCAGCAGCAGCCACTACTCCTCGAGGTGATCTGCAACGGGCGACGCCTCCAGGCACTGGTGGACAGCGGTGCGTCCCACTCGGTGTGTGACCGCGGGACGTTGGAGAAAATTGGAGAGAAGTCAAGAGAGACCCAATTTTCAGCAACGATGGTGGACGGTACGAAGCTTCCCATCCACGGTAAAGTATCACTGCAGCTGCATATAGGTGCGCTACGGTGGAAGCCGACGTTGCCGATCACGAACATCAAGGGTTTAGATTTCATCTTGGGGCGAGATTTCCTGAAGCGGTTCAACCCCGAGATCGATTGGGTCAACAGCAAGGTGTGCATCTACAACAACGGGAAGCGGATAGAGTTGCGAAGCTGGACGGATACAGGGGACGTTCCTGAAACGACACTGGCACGGTTCGAACAGACGGTGAACGAGAGTATCTACTGGACAGACAACTGATCCGCCCATCCACCTCTCCCTACGGAGCACCAGTTCTCTTCACCCCAAAACCAGACGGCAGTTTATGGATGTGCATCGACTACCGCGCACTGAACAAACAGACAGTAAAAAACAAATACCCCTTACCGCGCATCGACGTCTTACTGGACCAGCTGCGGGGTGCAACAATCTTTTCGAAGCTGGATCTCCGGTCGGGTTACTGGCAGATCAAGATGGCGGATAACTCGATCCACAAAACGGCGTTCCGTACACGATACGGCTCCTACAAATACTTGGTGATGCCGTTCGGACTCTGCAACGCACCAGCGACGTTCCAGGCGGAGATGAACCACATCCTACGGCCCCTGCTGGACGAGTGCGTCGTGGTGTACTTAGACGACATTCTCATCTACTCCAAGAACATGAAGGAGCACGTGGAGCATCTGCGGAAGGTGTTCGAGATCCTGCGGAAAAACAAGTTCTACGTGAAGCTGTCGAAGAGCGACTTCGCACTGAAGAAGGTGCAGTTTCTCGGGCACATGGTGAGTGCCGAGGGCGTACACGTGGACCCGCGGAAGATCGAAGCCGTTAAAAAGTGGAAGGTTCCGGAGAACGTGAAGGAGTTGCAGCAGTTCCTCGGCTTCGCCAACTACTACAACAGGTTTGTGCCGCAGTACGCTAAGATAGCAGCGCCACTGACAGACCTACTAAAAAAGGACACGCCCTTCAAATGGGGTGCTCCTCATCAGCAAGCCATGGAACAGCTACAGACAGCACTGACCACAGCACCAGTACTCATCCTACCAGACCCCGAGAAGGACTACGTAGTTGAAGCGGACGCTAGTGACCAGGCAGTCGGAGCAGTACTGATGCAGGATCACGGGAACGGTTTACAGCCTATCGCCTACCTCAGTAAGAAACTGCACGGAGCAGAACTGAACTACCCCATTCACGACAAGGAAGCCTTAGCTATAGTCGTAGCCTTCAAGGCATGGAGGTGTTACCTAGAGGGAGCCAAGACTACAGTCTATACAGACCACTGCAGCCTCAAGTACCTGAAGTCGCAGCCGACGCTTTCACGACTGCAGGTGCGGTGGGTGGATTTCTTGGAGACCCACTTCCATTACGACATCGTCTACAAACCCGGGCTCCACAACAAAGCAGACGCGTTGAGCCGCCCAGGTCATGTAGCAGGCATCCAGCTCGAAGGGATGAACCCTCTGCTCAAGGGTCTATTCCAACATGGGTACTCCGTGGACGGCGAGATCGCTACAGC